CAATGATAAAATGATTTCCCTGGATTATTTATTCCTCCCTTGGGCCATTTTATCTGAAAGTTGCAAAAAATTACTATGTTGTTTATTTCTTAGCAAAAATACTTAAGATATTAATATCCCTCAGAGTTAACACTGGTTTTAATTCTGTTAATGGATTATCTTTTGCTTCATAGTCAACTTAAATCTTAGTGGCTTTAATACATGATTTTATTATTTTTCATTGTTTGTGGCTGGACCCAGCTGGGTGGTTCTCTTCCTGCTTTTGGCCAGAGTCATTCATTCATAAGGCGGCATTCAGCTGAGACAGGGCTGGGGCTGGAAGGTCTCAAAATGGCCCCACCCACATGTGTAGTGCTTTAGCTGAAGTGGCTGAAATGTCTAGGGGTGGCTGGGCTTCTCTCTGTCAGGGTAATTACAAAGTCTTCTGATGTGGGCGCTCAGGGCTCCAAAAGAGTGAAAGTAGAAGCTACCAGGCACCTTGAGGGCCAGGCCAGAAGGGGCAAAGTGCCCCTTCTGCATTCTATGGGTCAAAGAAAGTAACAAGGCTAGTCCAGATTCAAGGGGGAAATGGAGACAGACTCACCTTGATAAACGTGGCAGCATGTTCAAGCAGGCACGGAAGGAATCATTGGTGGCCTACTACATGTAGTTAATTCCTTTAGATGAATTTTGAGTTGATAGGAGCTTGGGAGGGGGTGTAGGGAGTGAATGTGGTTATGCAGAAGGGCTGGCTGTACAGGTGTATCTCCCCAGCAGCTATATGCAAAGTGAAGAGGGCGCCCAACGGGGAGACAGAGGACACATACTATGTAGCAATTTTATTTAGAAGTAGTTTGCCAAACTTGTCAGGGAGTCTGAAGCATGAGGGCTGCTGTGCACGAGACCCAGGGTTTAATCGGCCCAGGGTTCTAACCCACAGTGACACCGGGCCATTCTGAGGATAGTGTGAGGGTCAGCCACAGAAGAATCTTCCTCCTACAGACTGAACCAGCCATTAATTTATCCAGATCCTTGCAGCTGTGAATACATTTGGGGGGGGGGGACATTTTCTATGGAGTAATTGTATTGTGATTATTCATTCTGTAATTAGCTAAAAATCACACCCCTCTCCCACCTCCAGCTTTTACCCCCATCCAAGTTTCAATATCTTGACTTCATGATTAAATCCAAGTTCATTCTACTTAAACCTTTCATGAGTTTGTGCTTTTTGATCTGGTCCATCACGTATAACATGCTAAATTTTAGTTCTTCCTCATGGGAATACCACTCCATCTTTTGTTTGCCCCTCTCTGCTCCTTTTCTTGAGGAATGCAAACGAGAACTGTATATAGTGTTCTATCTAGATTTGTCTCAGATCTTACTTCTTTTTAATCCAAAATTTTCACTACATTTGTTAACTCTTTATTTTTTAAGTATTTTTATTGATTATGCTATTACAGTTATCCCAATTTCCCCCCTTTATCTCCCCTCTGCCCTGCCCCCGTCCTTCAGCATTCCCCCCTTAGTTCATGTCCATGGGTTATACACGTAAGTTCTTTGAGTCCTCTGTTTCCTATACCATTTTTATCTCTCCCTGTCTATTTTATGCCCACTAATGCTGCTTCTTCCTGTACCTTCCCCCCATTCCTTCCTTCCTTCCCCCTCCCCACCGAAATCCCTCCATGTGATCTCCATTTCTGTGATTCTGTTCCTGTTCTGTTGTTTGCTTAGTTCGTTTTTGTTGTTTTTTCATTTCTTTTAGGTTCATTTATTGAGAGTTGTGAATTTGTTGTCATTTTACTGTTCATATTTTTGATCTTCTTTTTCTTAGACAAGTGCCTTTAACCGCTCACATAATAAGGGCTTGGTGATAATGAACTCCTTTAGCTTGACCTTATCTGGGAGGTACTTTATCTGCCCTTCCATTCTAAATGAAAGCTTTGCTGGATAGAGTCATCTTGGATGTAGGTCCTTGCCTTTCATGACTTGGAATACTTCTTTACAGCCCCTTCTTGCCTGTAAGGTTTCTTTTGAGAAATCAGCTGATAGCCTTATGGGAACTCTTTTGTAGGTAACTCTTCTTTCCCCTTGCTGCTTTTAGGATTCTCTCCTAATCTTCAATCTTGGGTAATTTAATTATGATGTGCCTTGGTGTGTCTTCTTTGGGTCCAACTTCTTTGGGACTCTCTGGGCTTCCTGGACTTCCTGGAAGTCTATTTCCTTTGCCACTTTGGAGAAGTTTCCCTTCATTATTTGTTCAAGTTTTCAATTTCTTGTTGTTGTTCGTCTATTTATGGAACCCCTATAATTCGGATAGTGAAAGTTTCATTTGTCCCAGAGGTTCGTAAGTCTCTCTTCACTTTTTTTTTCTCTGGTTTGCAGGCCTGTGCTCAACCCACTGAGCTACACCAGCCAGGGCTTCTCTTCACTTTTTTGAATTCTTGTTTCTTCGTTCTGTTCTGGATGGATGTTTATTTTTTCCTTTTGTTCCAAATCATTGCTTTGAGTCCTGGTTTCCTTCCTGTCACTGTTGATTCCCTGAATATCTTGCTTTATTTCACTTTGGGTATCTTTCATTTTTCGACCAAGTGCAGTCAGATCTGAGCATTTTGATTATCAGGGCTTTAAATTCTCCATCAGATAGGTTCGAAATCTCCTTCTTGCTTAGCTCTTTCTGAAATTTTGCTGTGTTCATTTGGGCCCTATTTCTTTGTCTTCGCACACCAGTTAAGTTGTAATGGGGTGGGGCCTTAGGTTTTCACCTGGGCAGGGTAACCCTCCTTGCTGCCCTGGGGGGTGCCTGTGGGGAGGGGCCAGAGAGGGGACGATGCAGCTCGCCCGCTCATCTCTACTAGACTTTCCAATGGACTCGTGTGTGAGACTGGGAGTTTCTGCCACAGCGGCAACCCCCCTGCTGTAGTCCACAGCCAGCCCTGCACCGGTTCTGCTGCCTTGCCTCGGTTTTTCTGAGCTGCCTTGGCCCTCGCAGTCCACTGCTTTACCAGTCTGGTTGTTCTGGTTGATTTCTTCTTTAACTCCTTGGTTGTTGGAGTTCCATGCAGGTTGACTTTCTGGAGCTTCTGGTTGTGTATTGATTTTAGATGTTTATCTTCCTTTTGGTTGTGCGAGGAAGTGAAGGGTTTCTGCCTACACCTCCACCTTGGCTAGAACTCCAGATCTTATTTCTAACATCAGCTCTTTATTATGGCCAGGATTTTACTCGGTTCTTACTTGTAGTTACATTAGTTTTAGGGAATAAATGTACAAGTTCTAGGAACAAATGTACAATTTCTTAGGGTTTTGATAAGTTAGATGTTTCTATTACACTTGCTAATATTAAATCACTTGCTGATTTCTCCCCCCCCCCAGAACTGATTCGAATTCCTCCTATAGTTTCTAAAATGGGAGGAAGGATAGTGATCTGAAGGAGCACAGCGGTGGTCACATCTTGTCCAATCTGAGGCATCACTTAGATGGAAGGGGTGAGGGGGGTTGTCAGGGAACAGTGACTTTCCAGATGGGAAACATGCCTGTGTCAGAAGGAGCATGGTGCTCTTTGAGTTACTGAAAGTAGTTCAGTCACAGTGGATGAGGCATTTTGGAGTTCTGGGTCAAGATCAGGAACCTGCGAGCTTTGAGACAGCCCGTTCTTTAGCACAGCCTGGCATTCTTCAAGCCAGGTGTTCTGCAGATTTTGTTGCCTCCATCTCAAATGCTTTTCCTTGAAATATTCATTAGGTTGGCTCCAAATAACCTTGTACGCCTCAGCTCAAGTGAATTCTTCTGAGGCTTTTCCTAACCATTCTTTCTAGGTTGGTTCTCTTACACATTATCACATTAGAATGCTCCGGCGTCCTCATAACACTCACTACTCTGAAACCAGCTTCTTAGGCTCTGCATAAAAAAACATAAACTCTTTGAGGTTGCCTGTCTTGATCACCACTATATGGTTAGAGCCTAAACACTACCTTTGACTTACTTATTGAAAGCTTACTGTGTACCAAGGACTGTTTTTAGATGATTGGCGTTATCAGTGAACAACATGCAAAAATCCGTATCTTTGTGGCATTAAAAGACATCACATTTTCCCTGGGGGAGACAGAGAGTAAACAACATGTAAGTAAACTGCATGCTCCAGGAACACACGGTAGGAAAGTGGAGCCTGGAGTCTTGGCAGGGTAGAAAGGGGACCTGCAACGTGAAATAGGATTCCTTGAGGTGGTCTTTGAAGATTTGAAAGAAGAGGTAGTTAAGCAAGCAGACACAAGGAGGAACGGCTAGAGGGGAGAGCTACTGCAAAAACTCTAAGCAAGAGCGTGTCTCCTAGCCAGGGGACTTGGGCAGCGTGATGGAGGGGAAGAGCAGCAGCTGAGGTCAGAAATGAAAAGCCGTAGCAGTATTTTTGATTTTTATTCTGTAATGAGGAGCCAGTCAACAGCTTCAAGTAGAAGAGTTCAATGTTCCCTTTGCTGTTGTTTAGAACAGGCTGTAGAGAGACAAGTGTAATAGCAGGAAAATCGGTATTAGGAGGTTACTGTGAAATTCCAAGGAAGAATTGATGGACATGTATTTGGCAGTCCTCAGCATAAAGCGATAGGATGTGACCACCAAGGGAAATTATCATCTTTTGAATGACTTCAACTTTGGCTTTAGGACGCTCCTAACCATTCTTGGTGCTACTTCAGGAAGACTTTTTAATAAAGGCTGGTAGTCCAATTAAAAGTTCCAATTTGCTCTGCATATGAACTTGAGGATGGCAATATTTCATGATTTGGCAAGTAACTGTTTTGCTTTGATTAAAAGAACCAAATCCTTTTATCATTAGCTTCTAACTATAAATCCAAAAGGATGAAAATTAAAGGTAATTTGCAAGACTGAACTCTCGAAGGCAGAGCAGTAGCTTGTCCATTTTTGTATATTTATGGTTTGACACACTGCTTGGCACATGAAAAGCAAAAAATGTTTAATGAATGTCCAAGAACCCGAAACTACCATAATCATAACACATCAAGACACAAAACAAAATTACAAAAGGAAATTTATTTCAAAAGCATAAGGGAACATTTACTTTTGAACAAGGTGATAAACAGGTGTCTTGCAAAGAAAAAAATCATGACATGAAGTTTTCCATTCAAATTTTTGAAGCAAAAATAACCTAAGTTGTGCACTATTGCTTTAGGGAAGGGAAGGAGACAATGAAGTGGTTAAGGAAGAAACACAAACAAACTCAGTATCAAACTTGAAGAAGCAGGGCCAATTCTGCTTACCTTTGAGTTTACAAATATTCTTAAAAAAGGAAAAAGAGGAAAAGTTACACTTAACGTTTAAATTTATATAACTATAATCCCAATGTAGTTCCTGTACTTGAAATGGCTTTAGGCTACTGGCTGACCTGCCTCTGAGCTCCAGACTATCTGGTCACAGTTTTCAAATGGCAATTCCACGTTCCTACGTCTGTGCAGATTCCAAGGGAGCTTGGGTTCAGCTCACTGTCTTTTGGAATGTTTACATTATTGCCACCACTCCACAGTCAAGCTGACCAACTTCTTTTGCTCACTTGTACAATTCTAGTCTTCAAAGAAATATTTTTCTCATGAACTTGTGTGGTAATTCTAACAGGGGTTTTGCTTTTTCCCCAATGTGAAGGTAACAGTAATGAAGACACCTGCATTGGAATCACAGACTATTCCTCAAAAAATATGCCCAACTACTAGAAAATGTCATCCAGGCATTGGATTTGAATAGCAAACGTGGGGAGGGAAGATTAACTGTGAAACAAAAATATATGAAACATTCAAATGCAGAGCAAAGGGCCTATACACTAAAAATGCCCATGACATTTAACACTCCACAAACCCCCCATCTGTTGTTTTAACCTAAAGATTCTATTGGCTAACTTATACAATAATTTTGATTAATAACCTGAGAAGTTAAAATCTTCAAAGTGGCCAAAGCAAACAGAGAGCATCCCTCATTATTGGTACAGCATGTTATCAAGTCATTTTTCTTGGATTGCCCTGGTTATTAAATCCCCAAATTCTAAACTAGTCTATGTCATCCTGCAGAAACCTATATGTACATCAGATTCAATATTTTGGCTGTATTTCTCCAACAGGGATCTCCAAACTCATCTTTGAAAATGCAGCCTTTGTTTACTTTTTGTTTTAAATAACAATAATCATGTAAGTGCAACTGACTCAGAATCCCTCACTACTTGGAGGAAAACCTAGATAACAAGTTAACAATGGATTCAGCTTCAAAAGGATAATCACCATGTCAAAGATTACCCGTTCTTAGAATTAAAAAAAAAATGATTTACGTTGTACAGTCAAGTTTCACAGCATGCATATATACACACACACACATATATATGCTTATGTATGTATGTATATTATACATATACATTTCTATTCAAATAGTAAGATCCCATATTCAAAAGTTTTTATCACAACATATGGAGAAGAGTTAAGTAAGCAGTGCAAAGCAGCTTGCTTTCTCCTAAAAATGTAATGTTGTTTGTACATTTTAAGAGAGCTGGTAAATGTTTTGCTCTTAGGGCCCTAGGTAGGAATGCTGAACCATTGCCTAGCAGCTTTATTAAAAGATAATGAAAACAAAATGTTAGGATTGACCATTACTCTTCTCCATATATTGTGGGGGAAAACAAAGGACAGAGGGAGAAAAAAATCAATAACCTTTCAAAACTGATGACCTTTATCAGAAACAGACTGAATTTCATTATATTTTAGACTCGAAGAACTCTCACCAAATTATTAAGATGTTTAAAAGATTCACAATATGAAGTCTGAATAATGATGAAATCGCAAAAACAAGATTGCGCACAAAGCATCCAAAAATATCGCTGTGGTTTTTACCTCAGACACAACCATGGTCTATTACAAAAGTAGATCATACATACAAAGGTATAAAGAACATTAAGTTTTTAGCTGAAGGCAGCAGTCCACTTCAAGGGACATCCCCGGCAATCCAATGAGTAGTAGAATTGAAGTATGTGAAGCTCGTGACAATGGTGAAGAATGTGACGTCCTACTCAGTAGAGTCTTCCCCGACTACGATTTCCTCGTGCTCCCCAACCGCGGCCACTTCTACTTCCCCTGAAGGCTCCTCTCTGCTCTACGAAAAAGCGAACAAGGGTTTAGGCCTTGCTCAGGACTTCGTGACACAACAAATGTAACTCAGAGATCTAAATACAGCAGTAGGCTTTTTAAAAGTAGCACTTGTATCTGCTACACCATCTACAAATTCAATCTGTACATAAAACTGGGGCAACATATACACTGAAGAACCCTAGTGAATACATTCATAATATCAGAGGTGGTCTGAGGGCAAGAGGCTCCAAATGATAAATGTGGTGACCGTGGGTGCATTTGGTGGGCTGTAACTCCTGCATTTTTGATTAAGACTTGGTCTCATTTATGGCACACATCTGCACATTTTCCCTAACCATACTCGTTATAAAACCTCCATTTCTCAGTAAATTTAACATCGACACACTTAACAAACAAAATCCTCATAGGTATCATTATTATAAGCTAAAAGTTAATAGTGTACAGAACTCCACCCTTTCAATTGTTTTTCAATCACCTTTAATATAAAGCACTGGGTTCCTCTCGATTGTTCAGCTAGATCTAATGACAATATTAAATATCCTGTATAAAGGTCTTGTTTGATCCTGTTGTCTTTTCTATACTGGCTAGTTCTTTCTGATCTGGTACAGTCACTGTTACAGTACAGGGAATAACCAAGTTTTTTTTTTTGAAGGGCTTCATCCTGAGGACCATTCTGCACTTCCATGACTTTTTCAGAGATTTCATGCTTTATTACTAACTTAAAAAGCCACTACTCCAAGTAAAAATATATGCTTTAAATGTTATTTTTACATTCTGAAAATGTAAAAGGTAAAGGACAGAAGTCACAAAATACAGAATGCTTAGAACTTCTGGGTTACTGGGTTTCACAGGAAGGAAAACTGAACATGGGTATGTGTTAGTAAATGATTTGATTGAAAATGCACTAGGAAGCTGAGCTCAGTTGTGGGAACTAATATTATGTTCATATAAGTAACAGAGACATGAGTGAGTTAAGTGATGAACTTGGGTGAGGAACAAAGCTAAGTACGCCTGCATGGACTCAAAGAACAGCCACAAGTCCTGGCTCCTTCTCGACAGTAACACGTCCAGGCCAAGGGCACCTGTAGTTCATTTTCTTCACAACAGACCTGTCATTTGCTGTAACAAGGCGGTAATATTAACACTACCAGGTTCCCCAATAGCACAAAAAGAATAAATTTCCCAGCCCCTAAGTGTACATGATGTTAAAAACTCCCATTCAGTCTTCTCTGGAAAAATACAGCAAAATGTGAGCTTGGCTGACATAGAAATGTGGAATTATGATGATTTTGCCAAATGTGGATAACCAACTCTACTCTTAAAAAGAACACAAAACATCCCCCTTGCCCACTTCCAACGTTTGAGGCAACGCTGACATCTCAGGAAAAAAATGAAGAAGGCTCCTCCTACACTCCTTACACCGTCAGTTCCCTAAGGACAGGCATAAAAAAGGTGCAAAAGTTTTGAAGTAGAAAGGCCCACCAATCTCACCTGTAGCACTTGGAGAATACCTGTAAGGAGATAACATTCTACTCCCAAATATAAAAACCGGCAAAAAATTTACACCTATTTTCTAATGAGTCAGAGTTTGCCATTTGATTTATGACAAGCACTCCAATTACATGTTGACTCATAAAAATGGTTGGGTGTTACCCACAAACTTAAGTGTTGTGGGGTTTGATTCCTAGTCAGGGCACAGTTGCCAGTTGGGGGCACATGCAAGTAATTGATGTTTTTCTCCTCTTTTTTACTCCCCCTGCCGTTCTGGAATCAATAAAAAAAAAACAAAACTGTTTTTCAAATTAATAGTTTAAAAAATATCACATACAGCCCTGGCTGGTGTAGCTCAGTGGATTGAGAGCTGGCCTGCAAACCAAATGGTTGCTGGTTCAATTCCTGGTCAGGGCACGCACCTGGGTTGCAGGCCAGGTCCCTGGTGCAGGGCATGTGAGGGGAAACCACACATCGATATTTCTCTCTGTCTCTTTCTTCCTCCCTTGCCCTCTCTAAAAATAAATAAAAAATATCCTATACAATCTAAGGCTTTGCATTTTCCACATCTCTTTCAATTTGCATATATCACCTGATTATATCAGGCACAGGGCAAAAATCCTCATGAAAACTCAAGAGTAAATGACTTGCCGAAGTGAAGGAATACAAATCTCTATGTATTGCCATAGCTCTTGGATACGTTCATTAAATCAAATGAAGATAGTATCTGAGATAATAGTTGATTTTAATAATGGTTGATTTTAAGATACCACATGAAATCATACAAGTGGCAGGGGACAATATTTGGTGCAATGAAGTAACACAGAATCCTTTCCATTTAGAAAATGCTTAAAATACTCTTATTTGAAATTCTTATCTGTTATCCATATTTTTCAGGTAAGAAAAGAAGCTGAGATGCACATTTACATATTATTACATAAGTAAGAGTTTGGTGTTCTCTCCCAGACTAAATCTGCCTCAAAGAAAAAAGGCAAAAAGGGAAATCAGTATCCAGAGTTTGCTCTGCAGCGAGGCATTAGAGGGGCAGTGTGCAGTGGGTTGTGAGTAGCGCTACCAAGCTTCTTCCCTGGAACCACAGGCGGCATCTCGGTATCAAGCTGACAGAGCTTTGAACCATGTATGTGATACCTATGCTTTACCTCTGTTTTGTGCATACCTGAGGAAGACGTGTCCTAAAGTATCAGAAAAACCTAAGAGTTTGTAAAGGTGTTATGTTTAGTATAAAACTGTACGTAACTTAGTGTTTTGATCATGGTGAATTAAATAGATTGCATGCACTGAATCTCCTTTGTCCACCATTTGTACTACTTTACACCCAGAGAGAGAATCTTGAAAGCTGCCCGTTACTGCTGGTTCTGCAGGTGGTAGCAAACTGGTGTTTTAGTTGGCATCCAGTAATGGAAAGCATACTTACTGCCTGAGCAGGATGATGAATGTACAAAGAATGGTGTGTATTTATCCTATCATTCCTGCTTTTACTATGTGATAATACTACTTGTATTTTGTTTTATGTGCCATTTGGTAGGGTTTTTGTTTCTTTTAGGTCTGGGAACACTCACAATTTTTTCCGTGTAAATTAATAATGGCTTCATTCATTCAGTTTCAGCTTATGAAAGGTTTCATAGGAATGCTCTACTTTTGAATAGTGGGGGAGCCCTGTACTGCGAATTAATCCTGATTGGTAATCAAGGCCAATCGCAAGCATTTTCGATTGCTAGTGTTATTAAACTCTGTCTTAAACAAGATCTGCAGAGGTAGTGATACTTTCCTCCATTATTCTTTGAAAGGATTTTTGAGGGTATAAATCAATGGAAAAAAACCAACAAAAACAAAAAATTTCACTTCTCATTCAATAGCTCTGGGAGAGAATGGACCAGTGGGAAGCTCTAATAGCTAAAGGTGACCAGAGGACTGCACTCTGGGCAGCGGGCAGGGTGTGGGGGGCACTGTAATTGGACACATCTTCCTTGCCAGATGATGCTTTAACATCTGACTCTATTTCTATGTCCTGTCCTTTTGAAACAGTACAGAAGATGGGAGGACAAGCAGTAGGCGACCAAGGTCCAGGAAGGATCATTAATACCTCATTTGCCAGAAGCTACAGCTCTGCCCCTGAGGGAGAATGCACAGAATGTCTTGCCTTGAAGCTAGAATAGGGAAAACCAGTAATGAATGGCTTATGCCAAATTCCTCTTTTTTCCTGTTGGCTCCTCTGAATAAGAGATGTATTTTTCTTTTTTAAGTGCTTGCTTTTGCACGCTCAGTTCAATAAGCCCACAAAAGTGGATCAGAAAGTAATGGAATCAACTGTTTCCCCAATAGCTTTAATTTCCCAAGTTAACTCAGAAAGATCATATAAAAAAGCTATGATACTATACATAATTGATAATGAAAATCAAACACAACACAATTCTTGCCTAATCTCTCATATTGCTTATACCCAAACGGAAACGCTCACCATAATTAAAGTTGCTGAGATTGCTGCTATATTTCCCACTGGGAGGATTATAAATCTGCCTGGCATCTCTTTTTGGTCCTGCTGGAGATTTCTTGGGTGGTGAACCAGAAGTTGTATCTTCAGCGGCTCTCTTTTGCCTATAACAGTAAAAAGAACAGTAATTAAAAAAATTACACCAGAGGTCACCACTACACTTGTATTTTAGCATTATCAGTCATGAAAGACATCCTAAAGAAGACAGTCACATTAGAATAAAGGAAATAACATTCTGATGTCATCGAATTAACTGTGCCTTAATTATGCAGACATTGTGAGAGAGCATTTATAAGACTTAAATCTAGAATTTGTAGCTTCAAAGACTATATGCAAGTAATCCATTTTGCAAAAATTGTCAGAAGGTCTAGTTATACCACAGGAGTACAAACAAGACTGAAAATCCAGGGTTGTATTCCACCAGTTTATTTTATAAGTACTGGAATTAGATTTAATATTTTAAGTCATGCTTCTAATAGCCATATTTTCACATCTTATTAAGAATCATTTAATAACGTACCATTTTATACAGTAGATGTTAACATCTGAATTCAGGTTTTCATATAAGTCATAAATATTAGAACACTTAAACCACTTTGAATTACATCTCTTACCCAATTTCAACCTTCTGTACGGGTTTCCAGGACAACGTTACTGTGCTCTTGTAAGAAGGAGGGATGTGGAAGAGATCCTGCAGAGACAAAGTCAGACAAGATTTCTATCCATGGGGTGGTGTGGGGGTGGTGGCGAGGGTGACACACAGGGAGACGTTGTCAAGGTTAATTTTAGGAAAGAAAGCTTTAATTTATCTTGCTCTTGTGCTGGTGACTAAGCACCTAAAAAAGGCTACAAGAGAATAGTAAGCAAGGGCAACCTTGTTAAAACCTCCACCTATCACTTATTAAAAGTCCTTTTGTGCACAACATGTAAAAAACCGAAGCTAAGTTTTTTCTAAATGTGATTTCAAGTTCCAGGAAAAAATATCGTATTTATAAATGTTAATAAACAATGTCCATAAGTAAGTATTTCTTTTGCACATTTTTAAGTAGCTCAAAATTTGAGCACTGCTTGTCTAGCTAATGGGAGGACTGGGTAAGAAAGGAAGACATTACCTTGATTAAAACATTGATGTTATTTGTTATTTTCAATGCAACAACTTTAATCTTGTTCTGCAAAAGGAAAAATAGATTAAAATTCCCATTAACTTTTATACTGCATATTCCACTACCATATAGAAATAGAGTAATTACACTTCTCTTTCAGAACCATTCTTTCTTTCTTTTTAACTCTAAGCCAGTGTAGAGATGGCAAAGCAAGCAAATAATCTTTCTATTCTCTTGACAGGTAAGAACATTAAATTGTTAGCTACAATATACCTGACAAAACAAATGAGGGACAGGTCATGTGCACACAGGAGTTGTTCTAAAAACGATCAGTTTAAGTTGCAGTAAGACGTGATGAAAACATAAAACGGTTCAGTAGACTGGGATGAAGAGTGATCAAAATAGATGAGATCAGAGAACCAAATATCCCAACATAAACACATATAGTTTGGTAGGAAATAATTTAATCTTTTTTCCTAATGTGAATTAATATGTGAGTTTCAAAAAGGTGAAATGAAAAATATGATAACCACCAGTCAAATATTTAAACAACCTGTGCTGCTGATGACCCTAGTGAAATACTGGTATGCATCTAGGTTTGGTAACAAACACTGTTCACGAACACTAGACACAGTCAAGATCACCTCAATACTGACAAAAATGCCACTTAGCAATTAACTACGTGGACAACCTTCTAACATCATGTATCTCAACACATACTTGTATCACCAATTCAAATAAAATCAACCGTTACATTTCAATGTATGAGTTCAGTCTGAATTTATAATAAACAGTGGCTATCATAAATATGAGATGTGACCCAATGTTCTTACCTCGTCTGTTTTCAAGGCCTCGCCTGTTTTGCCCTGGAGAGCCAAGCGAAGTTGTCTGATGTAAACCTGCAGGCCCCGTGCAAAGTACTGCAGCCTAAAGAAAGAGGTATTTGTTAATGAGTAAATCATCACTTTACTTTTAACAAGTCAATCTCTCGTGTGTTTATCTGCTAACAAGTGACAGTGTTTGACCTGTTTGTATCTCAAGGTCCAGTAAAAATAAACAAAAATTCAGATTTGAGGATTTATGATAAACTTACAAATCTCAAAGAGACCTGAGTAATCTTCTTCAAGTGTGTTCTCACTTAATATGTGAACAAAGAGTCAGCACCCTAACTCTATCCTACTGACTAGGCATACTGCTTAAGAACCTGGTTCCATTTATTTTTTCATTTTTAGAGTTCTCCCTTCTTTCCTTTCCTTCCCTCCCCCACCTTTCTGTCTTAGAAAACAGCCCCACAGTATTTATCATCATCTGGTAATAACACAAGGGTAATCAAAACAGTATGAATAACTGTTTAAGAACTATACTCCCAACAAAGGACACCTAAGAACACAAGCTGTATTGCCTTCTTAACAATTTCTCACTTCGTTAGTCATTTCTAGTTGGAGACACTTTGGAGTAATATTATCTCCCTTTAGGATTTTCTGACCCGGTTGGTTTTCTTCTTTGTTTTCGAATGAATCTCTTCTGCATCATCTAATATGAGGATCATATACTCATCAACACCAGTGATCCAGCCCTCTCTCCACATACTCACTTGCTCATAAAGCCACACCTGAATCCGAGATCTGTTTTGCAAGCATCTGAAAACAAGGCTGATGGGCTGTCCCACCACCTTCCGCGCTTTTGGGCTCTGGCCGTGCCACGCCATGGTGGAAGCTGACAAAGACCACACTAATCTGCTATAGAAATTTCTTAAGTTGCCAGCTACTGATCAAATGTTCCACCAATTATTAAACCTAAGAGTACAGGCCAGTAACAAATGATACAGTGGCCAAATATTTCAAAATTTAAGATATGAATTTGTTAATGAAATGATTCAATACAAAGTGACTTCATGTAAACAACTCAGAATTTCTCCAATAACAGCAGCAGCTACGGTTTCCTGAGTACCCACCATATCCTGGGCACTGTGCTCAAAGCTTCCCATTCATGGTCTCATTTAGATCTCACACCTCTGAGGTGGGTACTATTGTCGTTTTACAGCTGAGGAAAACTTGGGCTGTTAGACAGGTTATGGAACCTTCCCAAATCGTAAAGCAAGTGGGAAGAGCCGGAGTCTATTTTTGAAAAATCCTTCTCCCCATGGATTTGTTATATAGCACAGGAGTCACATGTGTGCAAATATCCCTGCTTTTTGGCTCTCTTGTTCTACTAGGGGAAGACAGCTCTTGTAAAGATGAAAACAAAACCTAGGGAGCATCAGACAGCAATCATCGCTGCCAAGGACCGGAATACTTTAATCACACATCACCTGATTTTAAAATCTTTGAGCTTTTCTGCATTCAGCTTGGCTGTTAAGAAGTCTGGAAGTTTTCGTCCCAGCTGGTGGAAGCTGTACAACAAACACTCCACATAACTGAACTGCAGCTTAGGTTCTTCATTGCCAGCATTCTCCCCATTTTCCGCTTCTTCAGGAGGGAGAGGCATGTACTCCTAAGAGATAAAAATATCGAGATATTTGTAATGTGCTAATTAACTATAAACATACTCAACTAACTGTAAGGCATGAAAAACTACCAAGATAAAAAATTTATATAAGATAGCTCTTTTAGACCTACTGGATCCATGATCTAGGTGATCAATTCTCCATATTAACCTATGTTATAACTGATACCACTACTAAGAAGGCTAATGAAAGTAGCTAACATTTATTAGGTACTCAATGTAGATGGAATTCTAAAAGCTTAGGTATCTTTCCTTTAGTAGAACAGTTAATAAGCTGAAGAGTCAATCTAGGTTTGACCTCAAGACTTGATGCTCTTAACCCACTGGTAACTCCAAAAATCTTTGAATAGTAGTCCATATTCTTAAGTACTGACTCTCTTTTCATTCAAAGTAGTACGAAAGGCATTCAACACCAGTGCTGTAACACTAGCAGGGGCTAAGGTCTGAGAGAGAAACAGACACTGGACGACTCGATTCACACTGTGGGTCAAATGCTTATCACTGTGTCCTAACTGCTCACGTCCAACAAGAAAATCATTTGGCAACTCTGAGGATGATTTTATCAAATGGCCTATTTTCTCCACAATTATGAATTAAATGACCTCATTTTCTGGTTGCTAAAGCTACTTGGTCATTGGCAGCAACCTGAATGGTGAACTGCAGCAAATGTAAAAAATATTTTGATAAAGGAAGAGCAGAAAAACCCCGTATAAATCCTGTATTATACTTTAGGCAAAGCATCAAGAACAGAAGAAATGCCAAAGATTAAAACATAAAAAAAGAAAAAAAGTAGACAACATGTGGCCTGAGTAGCTAGCGACACCTGCAGTATTATTGGCCAATACTGGAACTTCAAAATCTACTTCTCCATGATCTAGACATTCATACCACACTATTAGATTTGGGGGCTATATATATTCCACAGGGAAAGAAAAAGTTCTTACCAATAACTTATCGAATAGTTTTCTTAAATTTGTTTCTAGCTTTTCCATGTCACCACAAAATGAACTCATCTCCGCCAATAGTTTCAATACCTAAAACACATAATCACTGTTATTAGTATTATTTTCTTGAATGGGCAAGGCCTATAAAATAAGAAATGATTCTAGGTAACTATTTAAGACTGCTTATTTTGTCCTGGCTGGTGTGGCTCAGTGGGCTGGGCAATGGCCTGAGAACCAAAAGGCTGGTTTGATTCCCAGTCAGGGCACATGCCAGGGTTCCAGGCCGGGTCCCCACTTGGAGGCGTGTGACTGATCAATGTTTCTCTCCCAATTTTTAAAAAAAATTTTATTTATTTACCTTTAGCAGGGAAGGGAAGGAGAAAGGGAGAGAAACATCAATGTATGGTTGCCTCTCATGTGTCCCCTGCTGGGAACTGGCCTGCAACCCAGGCATGCACCTTGACTGGGAATCAAACCACGATCCTTTGGTTCGCAGGCCCAAGCTCAATCCACTGAGCTACACCAGCTAGGGCTCTCTCCCTTTCTTTCCCCCTCCCTTCCCCCATCTCTATAAAAATAAAATAAATAAAATCTTTTTAAAAAAAGAGTGCTCATTTTTTAACTGCACTTTTATGAAATCAGGACGCATGAAATGGAAGAGAGAGGCAGCCCTATATTTTACTGTGGAGGAAACTGAAGGTCAGAGAATTTCTTGACTGGTAAAGCCACAATATGTGGCAGTTGCACGGCAAGACCTTCAAACCCCACTCCTATGACTTTCACTGTATCTGTGAGAAGGAAAAGAATATACGAGGTCTGTCCTGAGAAAGTCCAGCCATTGTTAATATGTGATGTAACCTGGCAGCCAAGGAGGGTGGACTGGAATGCGCACTTGTGAGCAATGATGACCCACTGTATTAGTGGGGGTGGTAGATGCTATCCAATGAACATGTGTACTGTGTGGCCATCACATTCAAAATGACTGAGTGAGAAGAGTACCGAATCTGCATCAGATTCTGTGTGAAGCTTGGACATTCCTCCATGGAAACTGTTCAGATGATTCCGAAGCCCACAGCTATGGGCAGCTGGTGACTGGCAGCTTCATCACCATAATGTGTCCGCTTGTCCACCATGTCTCACGCAGAGTTTTTTGGTGAAATATCCAACCACCCAGGTGACTCAGCCCCTCTACAGCCCAGATTTGGCACCCTGCAACTTCTGGCTTTTCCCCAAAACTAAAATCACCTTTGAAAAAGAAGAGATTTCAAAGATGGGGCAGCTGATGGCAACTAGAAGAACTGAGTGGATCCCAAAGGGTCTACTTTGAAGGGGACGGAAGTGACATTATGTAGTGTTTCCTGTATCTTCTTCAGTGAAATGTCTCTATTTTTTGTATCACATGGCTGGATACCTTCTGGACAGACCTCATACATGATACTTTCTGCCACAGGTTAATGATTATAGCGTTAAATAAATGCAAAAGTGATAAACATACTAACTAACTTGACAATGTGTACTATGAAGAAACTGAGGAATAACTCTTAACAGCAAAGATTTATTAACATTTAGAGTAGGCCTCACTTGCTGTAAAATTTAGTATCTGGATACCAATCGAAAGTATTGGTAATTGCCACTACTGAGGTTCATCTCTGCTCTATCCAATCCAGTCTAATAAGCCAAACCCCTAACATTTTAAATAACAGGGCAGGTATAGTGAGACACTTCTGTAACCCAAAGACCTATGAAGGAAATAGGTTTTCATATTTCAGTTCAATTCAACTATCATTAAGTGCCGTTTCGAATCAAGCTCTGCACTAGATTCTGGGAATAGAGATGAATCTGCTTAAAGTAGGGAGATAAATAAATGTAAAGCATTTCACCCGCTGTGAAAACATGTATTATCACACTTATGTAAATGAACATTACGGTTGAGACACACAGGAGAGGGGACCATGAATTCCATCACAGAAGGGATGAAGGTATTTTGTGTTAATCAGCTTAAACCTGGCTCTACCAGTTGTGGGCAGAGATGAGAACTGTCATCAATTAAATACCTTACTTAAAAGTATTAGGGCCACAAAGGCAGAGACTGATTGTAATGAAAACCATGAGCAGTGCTTTCCCACTGCAGCAACTTTTAACTGAGTCCATAGAGCATCCCTATGGCCATGTGAGCCACCAACGGACCTTTACTGTCTTAGAAATCAAGTATGAATTAGTGGTTTACATCTTCATTAAAATATGAGAATGGCTTTCCAGTACTAAGTACAGAAATTTTCTCTTACCTCCAACTGTATATCAAGACCCTCTACTGGGGTGGTCAAGGAGCTGAGATTAGGGAGAACGTGCTCACAGAAATAGGTCACAAATCTTGTGGAATGCACATTTTTCTGTAAAAATCCAAAAACATTTGAGTTGTCAAAAACATACAGGAGATGCACTCTCTCAAACACAATAGCAGAATGCCGTTCCGCAAACGCTGCCCGAGCAGCACAGCGGCAAGTGCTCTGGCCACAGTCACAACCCGCTGCATGCCCCACGGCAGCCCAGAAACGACCTCGACCCACAACACTTTGTCTGTCTGGGTCACTGCAACACCTACACATCTCTGGACTGCTCCATTCCCAGGTCAAATTTTGGATAAACTTTTATTGCTGATTTCAGTAAGTTTTCCACAAAGGACAGATTATTTAAACTGTGTCTTTCAAACTGTGGTATGCACATCTCGGAACACTCTTGGCCAGGGACAGCACAAAGCCAGAGATAAGGAGCATATTTACCTAGTACAACAATCCGTTGGACAATTTAAGAAAAATGTTAAATTGCTAAAGAAAGTAGTTTAGAAATTCAGCCGAAGTATAAAGTATGATGCAAAATCCTCAAGACTTAAAAAGAAGTCTCTTAGCAAGACATGAAAGAAACTTCTTGCTGCCTCTGCCTCTCACCAACCCCACTGGTGCTCCCATAAATGAAAATACCAATTCTACTGTGTCAGCACTTTTACACAAAGGTTTGAGGAGGATGTTCAAGTCAACATCTACAGAAATATAAGCTAACAAAGTAACCAAAATACCAGCTATGTAAAACAAAGAGCTTACAGAGAAGAGGGGCACTGCCTGCCGAGTGCACTGTAAGAGCCTGTCCACACAGTCGGGATCTGACGGGTTGAAGGTTTGCTCCAGGTCAGCCTGTTCAGCCACCAGCTCTACAAGCTGCTGTCTTCCGCTCACTGTCTGTAGGCTCTTTAACCCAGACAGTATCTTCATGAACAGGACAAATTCTTCACCAGTCACATCTTCTAGGACCTGGAAGGAGAGAATTCAAAGAAAGAATCTTTATCCCTTGAATGGGAAAGACCAATATTAAAATTGTAAAAAACTTATTTCAGCTACTGAAGTCAGTTTGCTCCTAATGCTTTTGAAATACTGATAAGCGCATAACTTCTAGCTTCAGTAAATTTAACTTCAGAATAGATCATTACTCTCAATGTGGGGCCCAATATGGTCTCCAAGGGGGCACAATTTGGTTCCTGGAAAATTTTAGTTTTTAATGTATAAAGCACAGTGTGTACACACACACACACACACACACACACACACACACACACAGTATATAAAAAGATATATAGTATATCTGTGGCATTAAAATTTCAAGGAAGGGTGGGTAAGGAAAAAAAACTCTACAGTAAATCTGGTGCAGTTTCCTGTATTTAAAAAAAGCCCCACTTGCACTAATTTGGTAATTGTACACAAAACAGGAGCCCACGTGTGTCTTGCTGCAAGTGCTCCGTACCAGTGGGTCTGAGTCTTTCTGCTGGGTGGCCAGAGGAGCAAGCAGTCATGACCTTTGCCACCAGATCACTCGCCGGGGCACAGGTAAGAAATGCTGACATGCCCAGTTGGACAACTGCGCCTTTCTCTCTCACTGAGGCAGCATCACTGAACAGGCAAAGAGCACTATCAGGGAAACTGTGAAACCTTCCTAAACATATAAAAAAGTAAATTATTCCCAAACTCTGGCGCTTCGTAAGTTAAAGTTAATTGTGACGCATCTTGAGAATCTCAGCAGCACCTGTCACTACGCTAGATCTGGGGGCACACTCTGGAAAAGCTTAGAGTCGAAAGATGGAGAAAACTGGTCATTTCTATGTGATTTCATTTTTATTTCGAAATGATTTAGAATACCGAGAGACTGTCCTAAGATGGAAGGCAAGGGTGTAAGTAACCAAAGTGCAAAACACGTGGCAAGAAAAGCTCGATTGATGTTCTATGACGGTTCTAATTGGATATGTCAGTTTACACACATTGATGACACTGCTCATTTCAAATACGTATTTTTTGCTTCAGGCAAGTTCTCTTAAATGATGACCAAAGCTTACCTTTTTGGATTCAGTGAGTATAAGTTCCTCTACTTCCTTTGTTAAGACTTCATCTGGTAAAGTCTTCAGTTTTGTAGAAAGAAATTTAATTGCTCGTTCTCTAACAATGTCCTCTCCTTGAAGGATTTGGCTGAATAAGCCACCTAAAGTCCCTGCGAAGCAAAATAGTTTGTGTGTAGCAAGTCAATTCTGTATCATAACAAAGATTTTAAATTTAACTCAGTTATAGTACTTCTTTTCAAGTGAGTTACTAACAAACATCCTGAATATTACTGATACTGGTTAAATTAGTTTCAAATTTCTACAGCTCCAATTTTAAGAGTGATCAGATGCTTAGTTCATGGATTCAGAGTCAGCTTGACTGTGACGTACCTTTTTTTTTATCATTACTAATAATAAATAAAACTCAGGTATTTTGGAAGAATTTTTTATTAGTGACAGAGGGAGTTTTACCAACAAATTTCTAATGGAAAAGTTTGATCTGTTTTTGCAGTTATTTCTGTTGAGTTTCTCAGTCACAAAGCTTGAGGTACGTAGTTAAACACCACCTTCCTGACAACTATACTTGAACAATAAAAAAAGAAAAGAAACCCCTCCCCCCAGTATTTTTATGAAATAGATCTCTGGGTGAATTCCAGACTTCATCCTTTCTGAGTTGAAGAAAGTTGAAAAATTGAGCTGAGTTGCTCAATTTTTGAAGGCATCAGACACAATTCAGAATCAGAAGTGGCCTTACCTTTCGCATCCATCTTAAATATACTCAGCAGGGCGTTGTTCACCAGGTTAAACTCAGCAGAGTCATCTAGATAGAGAAGAAGCAGTACAAAGGATCAAATAAATGAAAAACATCATCTGCTTCATTTTCAAATTTAAGATTCAACACAGATTCTCACGGATTACACTGAGACACATAACTAGGTATTTCTCTCAAATACTAAGAAAATACATTCCTTAAAAAGGTAGAGAACCTGATGTAGCAAACCTAGAAAAATTTTATATTAAGATGGTACAATTATGAAACTATAGGAAATTGCAGGGGGTCGGAATTGTGATGTATCAAAATTCCCCCAAAGAATCCAGTAATTTTGCCTTTATAAACAGAATTAAAAACAAAACAGTATTAGGAATTACATAATCACACGTCATTAAGTTTCAAACTACTAAAAAAATTATTTTATTTTTAAAAAGCTAAAAACAGAGTCATTATTTCAGAGAGAAGTTCTATTTATATAAAAGGGTAATGTTAAAATTCTTTACCTGTCTGTAGAAGTTGGGTTAGAATGTCTGCCACTCGGGGAAGATTTTCTCCAGTGGCAAACTGAGGAAGCTCTTTAATTGCTTGTCGTCGGATCTGCACATAATTTCAAACAAAATTTTAACAAATACTACCATAAATAAAAACAACAAACCCAACCTTTAAAGAAAACTAAAACCACAGAAAAACCATAATTAAAGGCATACGAGTCACAAAAATATAAAACATGAGATTTCTAGTAGTTTTAGAAATAATCTGCTTCAATTTAGCATTCAAGCTTCACAAAATTAAAATAAATGTGGTGCAATTCAATACAATTATCTAACTGTAGTAGACAAATTTGAGATTATAAACCATGGTTTATGTACTAATTATATACAAATATTGCGTTTTGACAACTTTTGGGCATACAATATAGTATCCCTTAAGAAAGCCTATTGAGGAAATGTCATATCTAGTAACCACTTTATAATTTTTAGTGTTGACTACTTAGTACACATTTGTGACTATACTGTGTACTTAACTCCAAATATGTGGTCTTGGCTTATTTAGTTTAACATAAAAAGGCATAGGAGCTCTACCTAGCAAATTCTGAATGAAATGTTTGTAATTCTCTAATTTCATTTGAAAAGTTGTGAATTAATAGTTGAAAATTCTCAGGAACCTAAATCAATAGCCAGAAATGCTAAAGGCTAATTCCTCTTATTCTATTAATCACATACAATTACTACACAAATCAATTATTTTTCTGCTATGCAAAATATTTAGGATTGCTGAAATGATGTTTAATGATGTAATACTACTAGTACTTTAAATATCTGAGACAAGCATAAATTGACTGAAGATGAACATCAGTCTAATTCCATGTACACAATGTACAAGAATTTATGACAAAGATGTAAGCCGCAATCTGTTTTTAACAGTGGACAACAAATTGAAAAGTTACAGTATTTTGTAATTCTATGCATTTTTCCCAGCTGAAAGGTGGTGAAAGAGCAGAATGTACTGTCCTGAATGTAGACTGAGCCTTGGTAAGACACCGTGCCAGGCCACACTGCGGTGTTTATCAGACGCTGACACGACTGCTACTTCAATTACATTAGCTACGCAGAGAAAATCAAGTGTCTGGAAGTAGCAAGAGAAACATCCGAAAGCTTGATGAAAAGCGTCAACCGTAAACTTACTGATACATCTTCATCCTCACAGAGGTCTAACTGTGCATTGATAGCAGAATCGGCCAATTCTGGAAAATGCTTAAAGAATTTTGGAATAAACTGAGCTGCTAATCTTTTTTCCTTGGTACCGCCTTTCACACCATCCAATATCACTTGATAGGCATCTTTGTGCTGAAGGAATGAAGCAGAAAGGAACACAATTTTGAATGATGAAAAGCTAGACAAACTCGCCTGAATCTAAATTAGTAAAATTTGACAAAGGCTAAACTAAAAATAGGGCTTGTTTTTGCAGTGTTGCTGCTGAACTCGGACACCTGCCTTCCTACCATCTGGTCCCTGCCCCCCACGAGCTGTGAGTTGGGGAAGAGAGAAGGATGACTCTAATTAAACAAACAAACAAACAAACAAACAAACAAAACACCTCGCCAGGGGATATGCTGATTGATTTTAGAGAGAGAAGAGGGAGAAAGATCGATGTGAGACAGAAACATCAATCAGTTATCTCCCATATGTATCTGGACTGGGGATCTGAACCTGCACACAGCCGAGCCACCTGGCCAGGTGGATGACCCAAACTTTAAGTGGGAGAAGCAAACAGGCACGTTGATGTACCAACACTTCTCCATTCTCGTGATCACTGACCCTGGCCTTGTGACTGTATTATGCTTTAAAAAACTGCAATGAATATAGCATGGAATTCTCAAAGAATTGTGTTACAGTTACTTAAATATTTTCATCTGTTTCCAATTAGCACCTTAAAGCAGGTGAAGAGAATACATTCCTGAAATTAAGTAATACCAGAAAGGTAAGGAAGCTTCTCTTTGCCTCATATTTTAGAATATGAAAACAGTAGTTGATTCTGTATAGCCAGCCAGTTTTGGAGTAAGACAGATTTTAATGTCACATATTTAACTTTTTATTAGAATAATACATTCAAAGCTCATTTGTTTCCTTAAAAAAAAATCAGAAGTGCTCCCCCTCAGATGCCCATAATGCGACAGGTCCACTACCCATAGGTACTGACCCCAATCCCCAAACACCTTCTCCGAGCGGGCGAGTCCTTCCATTAAACAGTAACAAACATCGAGACAATAGCTACCTCTCCAGTTTGGAACACATATAAAACCTTTAATCACTAGAACACCTTAATCCTTAAACACCATAATGATGATATCAGATGTGTACATAACACATTGTTTACTCTGTATAAGGCAATGCGCTAAGTACTTTATGGCTTGAGAGCTTGCTTCTGGCTATCAAGAGGGAATTGACAAATAAACAGCCAATGGATTATAGGATCACCAAAAATTTAGTTAAATAAAGCAGGATGCAAAGCTATGGAGGTGTAGTAGAATCTCAATGAAGAATATTCTTTTTTTACAATCAGAAATAAAGGGTTCTATGTAACAAAAGGTTAGGTCGTACATTGCCAACCTACCTAAAAACAGATTCTAAAAATTAGTTGTAAAAAAAAAAATAAATTTCATTAAATTAAAAAAAAACACCAAAAGAATGAACTGGCATTTCATGAACTGTCAGTGTTTACACTTTTCCACCCCGTAAAGCCAGTGTACTCCTGTGTAAAAGAACAGCAAAAATGAGAGTTTGGGTATTATGCTGATCTAATCTTAGATCAGTTTAACAGTCCGTCTCTTCACAGGTGTTTGACTTTTTTTTTAATTAAAAAAAATTCTGCTTACATCAAATTAAGCGTCTACATTTTATCATTAAGTAAATTCCAAAAATTTGAAGCACAGTTTAAAACAATGGAGGGCCACAGCCTGCTGCTCTATTATGGCTGGTCAGGAGCCCTGGGGGGAGCCCAGGGGAAGAGGGGGGTCAGGGAGCTAAAGGGACCTACAGCAGGGGTAGGAGACCTGACAGCGACAGAGGCAGAGTCAGGGGGGGAGGGGAGCTGAGTACATAGGTGGAATACAGGAGCTATGGGGGGAGGTGACAGAGGGACTGGGGGATTGTGAGGTATTATATAATGCTTCATTTAGAACTTATCAACTACAGTTTATTAGAAAATGCATGTTCATGGTCTAAATATATGTGTGTGTGTAGAGGTCCCCTCTTCATTCAAAACACAACCCTTGTAAGCAGGTTACTGCATATATATTTTCTTTGAATACAGATAAAATCGTGGGCCCTCATTAAAGTCTGCAGGAAAGCATGTTTTGTTTTCACAAACTACGGCTCCTACATATGCTTCCTAAATTAAAAGCAGATTTCTGCTTTGAGAGAGACATTTCTGACACTTTGAGGGAGATGTTTCAATTTAATTTGCCTTTATAATTAAAGATGACAAAGGGGAATGCAAGCAATTCTCAATTATTCACAGAACAGATAAATTCTAGTTTGGCTTCCATTTGCCCTATCTGACTCTGTAAGTAGGTGGCCTTCAAACTTTGTTCTCCTCCAGCAACACATGAGGGTGGGGATATGGGGCAGCACTATGTATACTGGTTTCAAAGTTTCTCTAGAAGATTCCCCATACACCTTGTCTGGGAGGACCAGCTGCAGATGGAGGGAGAAACACTGGTCTGACTTCTACCCATTCCTTGTGCTGACGTACAGCAAAGTCAATTTTAGGTAGAACAACTTACTGAAATCGTCCCCAACTCGGTTCACAATGAATGAGAATACCTTCACTACGACTTCTTTCTAGGAACAACAAAATCAAGCTATGATTGACTGTAGCTTTTCTTATTCCAACTTTGTCTTATTGGGTAGCCAATTTCTTCTTCACAACCGATCTAACATGGACCTTATGCACAACACTCAGTATATTTCTCACTGGTGATGTCAAAATTCCCTCGTAAAATGGAAGTATTGTAGGGAAGAAAAATCGTGATACTTGCAACTGTATATTTATAATTCTAGATAAGCTAAAATAAGGTTCAGATACCGACATTCCCCGTCCCCCCCCCCCCCCCAGCTCAGAAAGTTTCTACCTACAGAATGCACGACCAGAAAAGGGAACGGGACGGGGCAGTACCCCAGCTTTGCTCATGTTATTAGACTCTAGGAGATGCGCTTCCCACTCCACGGGATGGATTTGCAGAAGAATCACATGAAGTTCTAAGTCCTGAAAATATATATGGCATGGGATTGCTACTGAATACAATTAACATTACACCTCCCATGCCAGGGAGAGCCTGGTTCTTTTCACAATAAAGCACATGCACAGTCAGTCATTAACGCCTCAAGTTCAAGGTACTCCAGGGCTTGAAAACTCACAAAGCAGCGACGTACGGAAAACACTGCTGAGACAGAGCTGCTGCCAGACCACTCGATTTAAAGCTGCATGCTCACGCCCCCTCCCACTGCGCGGCCCTGTTGTATATTTCACCATACTTTCCATTAAAAAAAAATAAGAAAAACAACCAATCTACCTTTCTTATCTATTTACCTCCAGTCTCTCTAAAAACACATTCCCGTAGAGCGTCGCTCTTCAGTTTTGTAGTTCCAGCGCCCGGCCCAGCGTCCGGGTGCTGGTAGGGGCTCCAATCATGTCCTGAAGACATGAAATCGGGAGCTCTTGGTAAAGAAAGGACGCAAGCCCCCCTTTTTTTCCCTTCCACAACTTGTCTTCTAAAATACTCTTCCTAAAGTTAATAGCAGACTTTTGTAGCTCGACAAAGACTATTTTTTTGACCTCTTGAGAACTCTCGGTCTAATCTTCTGAGTGTCTGAACTCCACTGAAAAGGAGAAAGACTTCAGAGAAATTCAGAAGGCAAGACTCCGGGAGAGAATGAACAGGAGACTGAAGAGGCTATGAAAGAAAACGCTACGGGAAGGAAAAGCTGCCCAAGGGAGGCGGAGGCGCCTGGGACCCGAGGACCGCGCTTGCCCTGGAGGACGCCGGAGTCTACACTCCCAGAGAAGGGCCGATCCCGACGAAGCAGCGGCGCTCCTGGGACCTCACTGGAGAGCAAGGAGCAGTGCCCTCCGCCCTGCCCGGCCTGGCCCGGGGAGCGCTTCCGAAAGGCCCGGAGGACCGGGCCCTGCAGGCCGCTGGGGGACTGACCTGGCCCACTTGTTCCGTGGCATCGGCTAGGATACCGTAATTGCGGTAAAGCTCCTCCACGGTCGGCATGGTGAGCGACAAGCCGAGGGCTCGCTCCTGCTGTCCTCGCCGTCGTCTTCCCCGCCGGCGCCACCACCGCACCTTAAGTTCCCCAAGCCCGCGAGCAGCACTATTAAGCCTTTAGATGCCGCCAGCTCCGCCTCCAGTCACCGCGCACAAGGGAGGCCCCGCCCCCAACGTGTACGTAAAGACGCACGCGTCGAGAGGGGCCTTTAACTGCAGGCAATGCACAGCCTGGGGTTGCATTGCCCTCTATCGCTGGGAGGTCCAAAAGGCGGCAAGCGTGACCCTGCTTTGAAGGGTGTGCCTGTCTGTCTAGGAGATTTTGGTTTAGAGTGGAGCAACGTACAAAGATGACTGCATTTCTGCCCTTGAAAGATCTCACGTTGGCCGGAAAAGTGATCTGAAAGGGAGAGAACTAGAACGAGGGGCGGGAGTTCAAGCTTCATGAGAAGTCATAAACTCTATTTCCTTCTGACTCAAGAAACATAACAAATCTCTAGCAATAGGGGGCAGTAGGTCCAATTTTTATTTATTCATTATTGTAAAGAAAAAATATTCAAATGTCGTTTAAAAAAAGATAAGAACTGTATCCATAAGTCTAAACCAGTCTCGGGGTGAAGTTTAGCCTGCTGGAAAAGTTTGTTTATTTTTGCTTGCTGCCAGAGTAAAGTTAGGGTCGTGTGATTGTATCCAATTCCAAGGGAGTAATAAATAAAAGAAGCCATATGCAGTCAGGCGAGAGTCTCTAAAATACAAGTTTAAATAAAAACAGATATAAAATAGTTACATTTACATTAAAAATTGACCTTAAAAATAAGACAATTTTTTTTCATTAAGATGGGTTTATTTGTGATAGCTGAGGAATTGCAATTGAAGACAAGCAACTTGTAGCAAAAACCATAGGCAAGTCCAGCAAACAAAGGAGAGGAACATTATTTTATACAGAAAAAGGAGGAATTTTGGAGGACTATCTTTTAACTAAGAGTGAGCAGAAAATTTGTGGGTCTGCCAGAATCGCTCTCCAGGACCAGAATGAAATTGCTCTACCTGAATAAATTTTAAAGAGATGGTGGAAGATGATAACGAGGACCCACGTCGGGGGATCTGTATTTCAATCAGATGCCCCGTCAGGTATTCAATCTAGTGCTGGGTATCTGTGTAAAAGTAGAGAGGCAGGTCTGAGGTGGGAAGTGAGGGTATGTTTGTTCAGGGGATCTCCTCATTGGCTTAATGTTCTAATCAATTACAATGTGAGTATGCTAATATATACATACAATACCTTTACATTTAAAAAGAGAAATAAGACTCAACTAGTGTTTCTCTAGTGTTCTAGGATGTAGCTATTCACACAAATCTCTTCAAACCTAGTTCTCAGAACTAACTTGCCAGGCAGTTTCATTCAGCTCTGCTTCCTACCCTCCCCTGAGGCGGTCTATTGTTTCGCTATAATAATCAGGCTTGGGAACCTGTTTTAGGTTTCTTTATTCTCCTCTGATTCTCAGTCCTGAAGAATGGTGAAATCATTTCATATTTTTCTCTATTTCCAACTGGTCATCTAAGCTGGGGGCCTAGAATTTCTCCTAATGAGGATAATGTTAATGACAGTGATGATGATGGTGATGATGATAAGAGTCATTCTAATGACAACCAACACATTGAGCAATGACAAAGTTCTAAGCACTTTATGTGAATTTATTCATAAAAACACTGTGGGCTAGGAAATAATATTAGCGTGTCCACTGACAAATGAGCAAACTGGGACAGAGAGGTGTGAACTAACTTGCTCAGTGTTCGTGTGGCTGAGTTGGGCTTTGGGTCTTGGCAGCTGAATTCCAAAGCCCATGCTCTTAACTATGAAAGTATATCGCCTCTCGTCCCCCAACACTCTCTTCACTTCACCACCAGTCCCAACTCCACACTCTGACTCTATCACACATGCGTCTCTTCCTCACCCCTTCTGCCCCAGCTCAGGTTGCCATCCTGTCCCATTCGAGTGATGTCCATGACTTTCTGAGTGGTTTCCTCATCTCTGGCCTCAGTCAACTGTACATCTTATTGAGTATCTTTCATAATTTATCATTTTTCTCTTTAATTTAACAAGTTACATAAGAATACACTGTAATCATAATACATTCAAACACTACATAAATATTTTATGCAAAAAGCAAAAACTCCTCTTTACATCTCTCTTCCCCAGAAGTCTGGTTTATATTCTTATAGACTTTTATATTGCATGTTTAAATAGCATATGGCACATTTTGTACTGTGTCTTGCTTTTCTTACTAATTTGTTTTGTATTGCTTAGTGTCAAGGTACCATAGTTTATCCATTTATTTTTGGATATGTAGATTGTTTCCTATTTTTCATTATTACAGACTCTGATAAATGGGTGATTTTATCACCTTCTTTGTGCTTTTCTGAAGACTCCAGCTTTTCCACAGTGACTTTTGTAACTTTATATACATTCTCCCTCTTTGTCATTGGATCTATGAATGAGTTCAGAGGTCATTTTGTTAAATTCCCTTTATTCTTACAAAGGCAAAAGTAATTCCCAGAAAAGAAAATCACAGGTGGGCCCAGCTTAGGTCACGGGTCTTCTGTGGTCCAGTTAAGACCCGTAAGCAAAGTCGTGAAAAGCAAACATGGCTGGCAGGGGCCTATACATACGCGGATGGAAGAGGGTGGGACTGGCCCCAGGAAACGTTTAAGGGTCACCTGGATTCCTTTCTGTGAAGCTGCGTGCTTGCCTAGAGGGTATGTTTGGCTCCTTTTTCGGCAAGTATTCACTGAACACCTCCCACGAGCCTGCAGTGGGAGGCTCATGCAGCCTAGCCCAGGAGGCATGACACTTACGTTGTGGTTGGGGGAAAGAAACAATAAACAAAACGTATTAAGTAAGGTATACTTGGTTTACAAAAGTTAGGCAAGAATATCAACAGACAGTACAACCGGCCCGTAGAGAGTTTTCACCTGCTGACACTGCTCTCAGGGTTCGGAACCAAGCGGGCAGGACCTGCAGCCGCCTTACTGGGGAGGTCTCTGCCTTAGCGCTTCCTGCTTTATCACTGATCTGCAGCGAGCGTCGCTTCCCTTTATCATCCTTCCATGACGCTGTTTTTTGCTAGCCTGTATTGCCGTTGGCTTTGGACCCCAGCACTAGCTAGTAAATCCTGGCGATCAGGTACTGCTTATTAATGTTGAATAAATGAAGGAATGAACTCAGGGATACACAGGCAAATCCAAATTTTTCTGACCAGCTTATTAGAGTGTAGCAAAAGTGCCTACAGATTTCTCGGCAGGAGGAATGGATGACCTTGGTTTTATTTTTATTATTTTACTTTATTTTCAGGAAAACCATTCCTTCTATTTACCTCCACCTACCTTTACCTTCTATCTTCCCCCACCTACCTAAAAATCGGCAGCCTTTGCCACAGCAAATTGTGCTGTGACTACCTTTGAATCTGTTTGTTTTGAAACTTTGCAGCTGGGTTTAACTTTCTATTACATACATGGTGAAAGGCTTAACAGACTGTGCCCTCCCCTGTTATTATTAGTTTACTTGGCTCGTACCTTGGACCAGTCTGAGAGCCTACCTTCCGAGAGCTTTTATTTTAACCCAATTTCTGTTTTCCAAGGAAGACTTTTTTAAAAAGATTTTATTTATTTACTTTTAGAGAGAGGGGAAGGGAGGGAGAAAGAGAAGGAGAGAAAGATGGATCAGTTGCCTCTCCCACACCCCCAGATGGGGACCTGGCCTGCAACTCAGGCACATGCTTTGACTGGGACTCAAACCTCTGACATTTTGGTTTGCAGGCCGGTGCTCAGTTCACTGAGCCACACCAGCCAGGGCACAAAGAAGGCTTTTTAATCCTAGCAGGAAAAAAAGATCGTGACTTTCTAGAAAAATCAGAGAAAGATTAGGGTCTAGCCCAGTCTTAATTGAACTAATGATGATAATCATAGCAAATATCCATTGAGTGTTTACTGTATGCTTAAAACCACGTGTGTTAGAATAATAGTCAAACCTTATGGAATGGCTGCCATCTGCCAAGCTTTTTCCTAAATACTTTACATGCTTTACCTCACAACAGCCTTATGTGAGGCAGGTTCCAGCACTATGTCCATTTAAGAGATAGAAAAACCAAGGCCCAGAAAGGTCAAGTACCCGCCCAGGGTCACACAGCCGGTGGGTAGAAGTCTTGGGGTTTATTTCCAGGCAGCCTGGCTTGGATGGCTGCGCCCATAACTACCTCACCTAACTGCCTCTTGGTGCGATATGTTTGTTTCTTAGATGTGTTACGTCATATCTGGAGTCTCACTGTTCCTTATTCAGGCATATCTAACCTCCTAATTTAATGCGGGCCTTGCCAGAAGAGATTTACATACTTATCAGAGGAATCTACTTTATAAGATTATTGTGAAGATTAAACAAAATGATAGAGGTCAGTGCCTAGGCCAGTGACTGGTCTGTAACAAGCGCCCAGTCAGTGTTAGCTTCCTTCCCTTGTACCATCTTAAGATCTTATTCATATGTTTCAAAAATGAATGATCCTTCATCATTGCACGGTGCTTTCTGGAGGTTAGTTTGCTCCCTCTGAATGTATTCCCAATGGTGGAAACAGAGAAACAGCGGAAATAGTGGCAGTCATAACAAATCACCACAAATTCGGTGGCTTCAAACAACAGACACAGCTTTCTGTTGTCTATCAAATCTCTCCTGCATGTCTCTTATAAGGACAATTGTCGTGGGACCTGGGGTCTGCCCAGATGATCCAGGGTGATCTCATCTGTAGATCCTTAACTTAATTGCATCTACAAAGACCCTGTTTTCCAAATGAGGTCCCATTCACAGGTGCTGGAGATTTGAAGGTAGCTGTCTCATTTTGGGGAACACGTTCAACCCAGTACAACGGGTTCAGAACAGATGCTGGGGACTCAGGCAGCCCTGGTTCTGGCTGTGCTACTTAATAAATAAGAGATTCTCAAGGTGCTGGTCTGTAAAAGTATTTTTTCCCCCTCTGCAAATCAAGGAACAGTGATCTCTCTTTTCTCTGCCCTAATGTTGAGAATACGATAACCAAAGCTGACACCCTTTCCCTTAAGTTGCACTGGGCTTGTATTAGGGTTCTCCAGAGAAGCAGACCCAGTAGAATGTG